GGGGGCAGCAGTCAGGCAGCCTTCGGCAGCATGCCTGCGGGAGGTCCGTGGTCCCGCGGCTTTGGCGACAGTTCGGCGGCGGGTACGTCGAAGCCGCTGGACCGGCAGACCTCCCGCAGGTGTGCCGCTGAAAGCCGCCTGACAGCCGTGTTTGGGGCGGCAGAAAAGCTAGAGGCTCCCCTGCCACTGAGCCAGCAAGTTAGAGCGCTATAAAATCTACGTGTAGACAAGCCCTTAGCCCTTGTGTTTGTTCCTGGGGTAACACCGCCCAGGCGTGGACTATCCGAGTTCAATGGCCCATTAAAGGAGACTTCCCTAACCATACAGGGAGCTGGTCCCGCCAGGTGAGCCTTCCTGTGGACGCCCCAGCCAGAATCCGGGTAATGGCTGCCGCTGTGAGTCAGCAAGGCGTGTAAGGTCATGTGACGTGCTCATGTGACCCTGGGCTCCATCTTGGGCCAGTAATTTTCCACACGCTGTGCCTGTGGGCTTTGTTTGGGACAGTAACATTCCCAGCACATGGCAGAGGCTATAAAAGACCCCTGAGACATCTCCAATTTGTCTTCATTTCCTGCTCCGATTCTCTGGACTGGATTTACAGCTACAAGGGTCATTTGAACTATGGACCGAGGACCATCCAATCTTTTGGAAATTGGCTACGAGACTTTACAAGCCAGCCGTCTAGTCCATCACTGATTCACTGCTACAGCCCTGATCCAAGAGCATTGCCATTATTGTATGCATATGAGCTAGTAACCATGTTTAAGGCTTGTCGTCTTTTCTCTATTAATAAACCTTTAGATATTAGTTACTAAAGAGTTCGATTCTGCCCAGAGGGAGGCAGCTGCAGGAAGCCGGATGGACGGCTGGATGAGCTGGGGAACAAAGGACTGAGGAGGGGCCGGGCAGGGTTGTTAAGTGTGGGCTGCTGGAAGATGGAGACTCTCGTCAGAGGGCGCTGGGCTGAGCAAGCAGGACCCTGCTGTAACGTTGTGTTCTCTGTTTGCCAACCAAGCCGTTCTGGGCCGTGTCCCAGACAGCTAATAAACCCGACTGCTCTCACCCCGGAAGTTTCAGTTCCTAACAGCCAGAAATTTTCTGTGGTGAATGGAGCCACTGACTTTCCTTGTGAAAGATCCAGTGTGGGTAGCTTAGAAAAGGTCTCAGATGGAGTAAAAGCTGTTAAGGAATTTAAACAGCCCTATGACCAAGTGGCTGTGCTTGGCCAGCTTGTTGGGGAGACAAGGTTGTTGGGACAGGAAGGTCTCCAGGCTGATTCTGGGAGTGACCAGTCTGTGACTCCGGTTCAGAGGGAAGACGGGGTAGCGGAGTCTGCAGAGCAGGACAGCTGAGCAGTGAATCTCTTGAGAGTTTACCTGCCATCCCCTGCGTTCTCATCTCTAGATACTTGGGAGATGACTTGTAGTCTCTCAGTGAACTTAACATCTGAAACCCTAAGCCATAAGGATTGAGATCCCCAGTCACTGACTGGAGTCACCCTGAATATGGACATTGGACTATAACCTGGACCTGGGAAAGTGGCAGAACAACCTTTTGCCTTCACGTCAGTTTGGGTACATAGTGCTGACAACTTCCGCTGGCAGCATGGACCATGGGGAAGCAAGGCGAAAACACTGGAGGCAAAATCCTGGGATTCTTGTTCTAAAACTTATAAAACAGGCATACTAATAAATTGTTCAAATGGAGAAAAACAACAACCTACGGACTATTTCTAAAAGGACTTTTGGCAACTACAAACTCACCATCTCTGCTGTGTCTGAACCTCAAGAAATTGAATTCAAGTCTGTCTGTAGATTGATCTTTTAACCAACACACTCTCTTTTCTTTTTTAATAAATTTTAGTTTAGTTAACAATTGACTATAGCGTGTATTTTGGGTAAGATCAAGTTTTAAT